ATCAACTGCATAGCAACACCCTATCAACCACCCAGAGCATCCTAGCAACTGCATAGCAACACCCGATCAACCACCCAGAGCATCCTAGCAACTGCATAGCAACACCCTAACAACCTCCCAGAGCATCTATCTCTGTAGTTGACGGTGATTATGCTTGTCCCTCAGGGCTCAGATGGTCAGTCGGGGCCGAGAGGTCAGCCAGGAGAGCCAGTACGTGTCACTGCTTTAATCACCTTTACTGTGTTATATTAGTATTGATCATCATCCTCACTGATCCACCGATGTGTTTGTCAGTCATTGATTGACAGGATCAGTTGTGTGTTAACAGATATTCCTCAGTGAATGGTTCAATGTGTGTGTGTGTGTGTGTCAGGGTCTGGCGGGGTTGACGGGTCAGCGGGGTCTTCCTGGTCCTCCAGGTCAGCAGGTGAGTGCTGTGTGTGTGGGTTTCATTATTCTGTTCATATAGCTATGTCATGTACCATCATGTCGATGACGTGTGTGTGTGTGTGTGTGTGTGTGTGTGTGTGTGTGTGTGTGTGTGTGTGTGTGTGTGTGTGTGTGTGTGTGTGTTGACAGGGTATTCGTGGGATTGATGGAGTTCAGGGCTCGAAGGGGAATCTGGTGAGTACACACTGACCTCAGATGATGCTGGGAATGTGCTGATGACATCATCATGACATCACATCCTCTCCTCTTCTTCACACAGGGGCCGGCTGGAGAACCTGGAGCTCCAGGGCAGCAGGGGAACCCGGGATTCCAGGTACACACACACCCACACGCGCGCACACACATACACACACACACACACACACACACACACACACACACACACACTCCTGACTCTCTCTCTTCTGTCCTGCAGGGTTTTCCTGGTCCTCAGGGAGCGATCGGATTACCAGGAGAAAAGGTGCGCTCTCTCCGTCACAGTAAATCTCGAACACTGACTCCTGTGGGAAGGTTTTAGGGAGAATAAATGCCAGATGAACCTCACCAAACCATCAGACGTATAGGACTAAACTTAGCCGCTCTTAAACACGTATATGAGTGTGCTGAGGTGAGTGTGAAACGAGTTCCTGCGGACTTTAACAGGTGTGTGTGTGTGTGTGTGACTCAGGGTCCTCAGGGGAAGCAGGGGATGAAGGGTTTGCCTGGAGTGGACGGCCCTCCGGTGAGTGTCTCACACATGTGTGTGTGTGTGTTGTTGATCAGTGCTCCTGCTGTTCCTCATGATGCCACTGCACACACAGGGTCATCCAGGACGAGAGGGGTCGCCCGGGGAGAAAGGCCTGCCGGTGAGAGTCGCGAGTGTGTGTGTGTGTGTGTGTGATGTCATCTTAGTGTGTCTTCACATCCCTGATTGCTCTTGTGTGTGTGTCCTGAAGGGTGCGTCAGGTGTCCAGGGGCCTGTGGGATATCCTGGACCCAGAGGAGTCAAAGTACTGATGTCTTCTTCTAGCACACCTCTTGAATCAACACTGAGTGCCTTAACCTGCAGTTCCTCCACTGGCCACTAGAGGCCGGCTGCAGAAGAAACTCACTCCCATAGACACGCATGTTAAAATGCCCAACTTTACAGCAGAAAAACGCATGTTTACAGTCGGGTGCAAAAAGTGGTTTTGGTCTATATATCTAATGTTGCCCTTCATGACGACTGTGAGCGGGGTGAATATTTTTATAACTCATCCGTTTAAACTATATTAAGCCTTAAAGTTGTGCATAATTAAGGGTGTGGCCACTTGATTGACAGGTGGATTGCCGCTGATGTCACTGCTAGCCGTTTGTCTGCTGTGTGTTAGCGTCACGTCACCTCAGCTAATCCGCCTCACTGCACATGTTCGTTTACCGGGAGTGACGCGCTAACAAGTGTATTGACTGTACGTGTGTGTGTGTGTGTGTGTGTGTTTTAGGGTGCTGATGGGCTCAGAGGACTAAAGGGCAGTAAAGGAGAGAAGGTGAGATCATCACTTATCATCATAATTCATAATTTCAGTCTGACATCGACCAATAATCACCAGATTTTATAAACACCCTGAAAGTCAAGTCAAGTCATCTTCATTTATATAGCGCTTTTAACAATGGATTGTTTCAAAGCAGCTTTACAGAGATAAACATATAATTTAAGGTAACAGATTGTTTTGGCGTTATAGCGGTTCTTGAATAATGTTACTTCCAGCTAAAGTTAACTTTGATTGATTCACCTCCGTCGAAATGATCAGACTTTAAACGCGAACCACTTGAAAGACCAGCACATCTTCATGTATCACGTCTCCAGACATCATGAGGCATAATAATCATCATCTCCAACGATCATCACACGTCATGATATCATAACACCCCCTGACTTCATATCATAACACCCCCAGACTTCATATCATAACACCCCCTGACTTCATATCATAACACCCCCTGACTTCATATCATAACACCCCCAGACTTAATATCATAACACCCCCAGACTTAATATCATAACACCCCCAGACTTCATATCATAACACCCCCTGACTTCACATCATAACACCCCCTGACTTCATATCATAACACCCCCAGACTTAATATCATAACACCCCCAGACTTCATATCATAACACCCCCAGAGTTCATATCATAACACCCCCAGACTTAATATCATAACACCCCCAGACTTAATATCATAACACCCCCAGACTTAATATCATAACACCCCCTGACTTCATATCATAACACCCCCAGACTTCATATCATAACACCCCCAGACTTCATATCATAACACCCTCAGACTTCATATCATAACACCCCCAGACTTCATATCATAACACCCCCAGACTTCATATCATAACACCTCCAGACTTCATATCATAACACCCCCAGACTTCATATCATAACACCCCCAGACTTCATATCATAACACCCCCAGACTTCATATCATAACACCCTCAGACTTCATATCATAACACCCCCAGACTTAATATCATAACACCCCCAGACTTCATATCATAACACCCCCAGACTTCATATCACAACACCCCCAGACTTCATATCATAACACCCCCAGACTTCATATCATAACACCCCCAGACTTCATATCATAACACCCCCAGACTTAATATCATAACACCCCCAGACTTCATATCATAACACCCCCAGACTTCATATCATAACACCCCCAGACTTCATATCATAACACCCCCAGACTTAATATCATAACACCCCCAGACTTCATATCATAACACCCCCAGACTTCATATCATAACACCCCCAGACTTCATATCATAACACCCCCAGACTTCATATCATAACACCCTCAGACTTAATATCATAACACCCCCAGACTTAATATCATAACACCCCCAGACTTAATATCATAACACCCCCAGACTTCATATCATAACACCCCCAGACTTAATATCATAACACCCCCAGACTTAATATCATAACACCCCCAGACTTAATATCATAACACCCCCAGACTTCATATCATAACACCCCCAGACTTCATATCATAACACCGTCAGACTTAATATCATAACACCCCCAGACTTAATATCATAACACCCCCAGCCTTAATATCATAACACCCCCAGACTTCATATCATAACACCCTCAGACTTAATATCATAACACCCCCAGACTTAATATCATAACACCCCCAGACTTCATATCATAACACCCCCAGACTTCATATCATAACACCCCCAGACTTAATATCATAACACCCCCAGACTTAATATCATAACACCCCCAGACTTCATATCATAACACCCCCAGACTTCATATCATAACACCCCCAGACTTCATATCATAACACCCCCAGACTTAATATCATAACACCCCCTGACTTCATATCATAACACCCCCAGACTTCATATCATAAAACCCCCTGACTTCATATCATAACACCCCCAGACTTCATATCATAACACCCCCAGACTTCATATCATAACACCCTCAGACTTCATATCATAACACCCCCAGACTACATATCATAACACCCTCAGACTTCATATCATAACCCCCCCAGACTTAATATCATAACACCCCCAGACTTAATATCATAACACCCCCAGACTTCATATCATAACACCCCCAGACTTCATATCATAACACCCCCAGACTTAATATCATAACACCCCCAGACTTCATATCATAACACCCCCAGACTTCATATCATAACACCCCCAGACTTCATATCATAACACCCCCAGACTTCATATCATAACACCCCCAGACTTCATATCATAACACCCCCAGACTTAATATCATAACACCCCCAGACTTCATATCATAACACCCCCAGACTTCATATCATAACACCCCCAGACTTAATATCATAACACCCCCAGACTTAATATCATAACACCCCCAGACTTCATATCATAACACCCCCAGACTTCATATCATAACACCCCCAGACTTCATATCATAACACCCCCAGACTTAATATCATAACACCCCCAGACTTAATATCATAACACCCCCAGACTTCATATCATAACACCCCCAGACTTCATATCATAACACCCTCAGACTTAATATCATAACACCCCCAGACTTAATATCATAACACCCCCAGACTTAATATCATAACACCCCCAGACTTAATATCATAACACCCCCAGCCTTAATATCATAACACCCCCAGACTTCATATCATAACACCCTCAGACTTAATATCATAACACCCCCAGACTTAATATCATAACACCCCCAGACTTCATATCATAACACCCCCAGACTTCATATCATAACACCGTCAGACTTCATATCATAACACCCCCAGACTTCATATCATAACACCCCCAGACTTAATATCATAACACCCCCAGACTTAATATCATAACACCCCCAGACTTCATATCATAACACCCCCAGACTTCATATCATAACACCCCCAGACTTCATATCATAACACCCCCAGACTTCATATCATAACACCCCCAGACTTCATATCATAACACCCCCAGACTTCATATCATAACACCCCCAGACTTAATATCATAACACCCCCAGACTTCATATCATAACACCCCCAGACTTCATATCATAACACCCTCAGACTTCATATCATAAAACCCCCTGACTTCATATCATAACACCCCCAGACTTCATATCATAACACCCCCAGACTTAATATCATAACACCCCCTGACTTCATATCATAAAACCCCCAGACTTCATATCATAACACCCCCAGACTTAATATCATAACACCCCCAGACTTCATATCATAACACCCCCAGACTTAATATCATAACACCCCCAGACTTCATATCATAAAACCCCCTGACTTCATATCATAACACCCCCAGACTTAATATCATAACACCCCCAGACTTCATATCATAACACCCCCACACTTCATATCATAACACCCCCAGACTTAATATCATAACACCCCCAGACTTCATATCATAACACCCCCAGACTTCATATCATAACACCCCCAGACTTCATATCATAACACCCCCAGACTTAATATCATAACACCCCCAGACTTCATATCATAACACCCCAAGACTTCATATCATAACACCCCCAGACTTAATATCATAACACCCCCAGACTTAATATCATAACACCCCCAGACTTCATATCATAACACCCTCAGACTTCATATCATAAAACCCCCTGACTTCATATCATAACACCCCCAGACTTCATATCATAACACCCCCAGACTTCATATCATAACACCCCCAGACTTAATATCATAACACCCCCAGACTTCATATCATAACACCCCCAGACTTCATATCATAAAACCCCCAGACTTAATATCATAACACCCCCAGACTTAATATCATAACACCCCCAGACTTCATATCATAACACCCTCAGACTTCATATCATAAAACCCCCTGACTTCATATCATAACACCCCCAGACTTCATATCATAACACCCCCAGACTTCATATCATAACACCCCCAGACTTAATATCATAACACCCCCAGACTTAATATCATAACACCCCCAGACTTCATATCATAACACCCCCAGACTTCATATCATAACACCCTCAGACTTCATATCATAAAACCCCCTGACTTCATATCATAACACCCCCAGACTTCATATCATAACACCCCCAGACTTCATATCATAACACCCCCAGACTTCATATCATAACACCCCCAGACTTCATATCATAACACCCCCAGACTTCATATCATAAAACCCCCAGACTTCATATCATAACACCCCCAGACTTAATATCATAACACCCCCAGACTTCATATCATAACACCCCCAGACTTAATATCATAACACCCCCAGACTTCATATCATAAAACCTCCTGACTTCATATCATAACACCCCCAGACTTAATATCGTAACACCCCCAGACTTCATATCATAACACCCCCAGACTTCATATCATTACACCCCCAGACTTAATATCATAACACCCCCAGACTTCATATCATAACACCCCCAGACTTCATATCATAACACCCCCAGACTTCATATCATAACACCCCCAGACTTAATATCATAACACCCCCAGACTTCATATCATAACACCCCCAGACTTAATATCATAACACCCCCAGACTTCATATCATAACACCCCCAGACTTCATATCATAACACCCCCAGACTTCATATCATAACACCCCCAGACTTCATATCATAACACCCCCAGACTTCATATCATAACACCCTCAGACTTCATAACATAAAACCCCCTGACTTCATATCATAACACCCCCAGACTTCATATCATAACACCCCCAGACTTCATATCATAACACCCCCAGACTTCATATCATAACACCCCCAGACTTAATATCATAACACTCCCAGACTTCATATCATAACACCCCCAGACTTCATATCATAACACCCCCAGACTTAATATCATAACACCCCCAGACTTCATATCATAACACCCCCAGACTTAATATCATAACACCCCCAGACTTCATATCATAACACCCTCAGACTTCATATCATAACACCCCCTGACTTCATATCATAACACCCCCAGACTTCATATCATAACACCCCCAGACTTCATATCATAACACCCCCAGACTTAATATCATAACACCCCCAGACTTCATATCATAACACCCCCAGACTTCATATCATAACACCCCCAGACTTCAGCACGTCTCCATAAATCACCTTTATCGGACATCTTTAGACATCAGATTAAATCTGACATCATCACAGCTCAATCATGTCCTGTTCAGATGTGATCAGATGTTTTCCAGAGGTTTCTGGAGCATGTGAAGTGTGCACATGTTGATGGATTGTTATGTGTGTGTGTGTGTGTGTGTGTGTTCAGGGTGAAGACGGTTTCCCAGGAGCAAAAGGAGAAATGGGTTCTAAAGGAGACAATGTAATAACACAAACACACAAATGAAACACTAACTGACACACAAACACACAAATGAAACACTAACTGACACACAAACACACAAATGAAACACTACTGACACACAAACATACAAATGAAACACTAACTGACACACAAACACACAAATGAAACACTAACTGACACACAAACACACAAATGAAACTCTACTGACACACAAACACACAAATGAAACACTAACTGACACACAAACACACTAATGAAACACACAAACTCACACACAAACACACTAATGAAACACACAAACTCACACACAAACACACTAATGAAACACACAAACTTACACACAAACACACAAATGAAACACTAACTGACACACAAACACACTAATGAAACACACAAACTCACACACAAACTCACTAATGAAACACACAAACTCACGCACATACACACTCGTGAAACACACAAACTCACACACATACACACTCCTGAAACACACAAACTCACACTACTAAAACACACTAATGAAACACACAAACACACTCCTGAAACACACAAACTCACAAACATACGCACACAAACTCACACGCATACACACACAAACTCACACACATACAGACGCATACACACACAAACTCACGCACATACATACTCGTGAAACACACAAACTCACACACATACACACTCCTGAAACACACAATTTCAGGCACATACACACACAAACTCACGCACATACATACTCGTGAAACACACAAACTCACACACATACACACTCGTGAAACACAAACTCACACACATACACACTCGTGAAACACACAAACTCACGCACATACACACTCGTGAAACACACACTCGTGAAACACACAAACTCACGCACATACACACTCGTGAAACACACAAACTCACACACATAAACACTCGTGAAACGCACAAACTCACGCACATACACACTCCTGAAACACACAAACTCACACACATACACACACAAACTCAGGCACATACACACACAAACTCACACACATACACACTCGTGAAACACACAAACTCACACACATACACACTCCTGAAACACACAAACTCACACACAAACACACTAATGAAACACACAAACTCACACACAAACACACTAATGAAGCACACAAACTCACACACAAACACACAAATGAAACACTAACTGACACACAAACACACTAATGAAACACACAAACTCACACACAAACACACAAACTCACACACAAACACACTAATGAAACACACAAACACACAAATGAAACACTAACTGACACACAAACACACTAATGAAACACACAAACTCACACACAAACACACTAATGAAACACACAAACACACTAATGAAACACTAACTGACACACAAACACACTAATGAAACACACAAACTCTCACACATACACACTAATGAAACACACAAACTCACACACAAACACACTAATGAAACACACAAACTCACACACAAACACACAAATGAAACACTAACTGACACACAAACACACTAATGAAACACACAAACTCACACACAAACACACTAATGAAACACACAAACTCACGCACATACACACTCGTGAAACACACAAACTCACACACATACACACTCCTGAAACACACAAACTCACACAACTAAAACACACTAATGAAACACACAAACACACTCCTGAAACACACAAACTCACAAACATACACACACAAACTCACACACATACACACACAAACTCACACACATACACACGCATACACACACACAAACTCACGCACATACATACTCGTGAAACACACAAACTCACACACATACACACTCCTGAAACACACAATTTCAGGCACATACACACACAAACTCACACACATACATACTCGTGAAACACACAAACTCACACACATACACACTCGTGAAACACAAACGCACACACATACACACTCGTGAAACACACAAACTCACGCACATACACACTCGTGAAACACACACTCGTGAAACACACAAACTCACGCACATACACACTCGTGAAACACACAAACTCACACACATACACACTCGTGAAACGCACAAACTCACGCACATACACACTCGTGAAACACACAAACTCACACACATACACACTCCTGAAACACACAAACTCACACACATACACACTCCTGAAACACACAAACTCACACACATACACACACAAACTCAGGCACATACACACACAAACTCACACACATACACACTCGTGAAACACACAAACTCACACACATACACACTCCTGAAACACACAAACTCACACACATAGACACACAAACTCAGGCACATACACACTCGTGAAACACACAAACTCACACACATACACACTCCTGAAACACACAAACTCACACACATACACACTCCTGAAACACACAAACTCACACACATACACACACAAACTCAGGCACATACACACACAAACTCACACACATACACACTCGTGAAACACACAAACTCACACACATACACACTCCTGAAACACACAAACTCACACACATAGACACACAAACTCAGGCACATACACACACAAACTCACACACATACACACTCGTGAAACACACAAACTCACACACATACACACACAAACTCAGGCACATACACACACAAACTCACACACATACACACTCCTGAAACACACAAACTCACACACATACACACTCGTGAAACACACAAACTCACGCACATACACACATGCTGTTACCCCCTGTGTGTGTGTCAGGGAGACTCCGGCGCCCCCGGGATGCGTGGGGAGGACGGCCCCGAGGGCCCCAAAGGGCAGGGCGGCCCCCTGGGTGAATCCGGACCCTCGGGCATCGCTGGGGAAAAGGTGAAGTAGTCTGATACAACATCATCATCAATATTATTATTGTTATTCTCTTTATTGTCACACATACACAAGTGTACCGACGGGAAATTCTTAGGTGCGAGTCTCTGAACATGGCACTATAACTACACAATATATAAACAACTAACAGAAATAACAAAATACAGAAATAACAGTATACACATCTGAATGCAGTGCAGGGGAAGTGAGGTGTGTGGTGATGTTTGGTGTAGATGTGTTCTTCATATCCAATATCAGTTGTGAGTAGGGTCGGGTATCGGTTGAATAACACTGTACTTTATAAATAAAATATACATTACAAATATAGTTACAGAAGTTATTCAGTGAAGAACGAGTCTCAGTCTTGTGTTGTGTGATTAGTGTGATTATAGAGACGGCAGGAATATTAGCGCTGTCACTTTAAGAGCTGCGGGTCCAGTACACTGATACACACGAGGACAGAACACACTCTCTCTCGCTCCAACGCTTTACACTCACACTGAAATACTCAGAGGAGTCGATAAGAGGAGTCGATAAGATAAGAGGAGTCGATAAGAAGAGTCGATAAGATAAGAGGAGTCGATAAGAGGAGTCGATAAGATAAGAGGAGTCGATAAGATAAGAGGAGTCGATAAGAGGAGTCGATAAGATAAGAGGAGTCGATAAGAGGAGTCGATAAGATAAGAGGAGTCGATAAGAGGAGTCGATAAGAGGAGTCGATAAGATAAGAGGAGTCGATAAGAGGAGTCGATAAGATAAGAGGAGTCGATAAGATAAGAGGAGTCGATAAGAGGAGTCGATAAGATAAGAGGAGTCGATAAGTGGAGTCGATAAGATAAGAGGAGTCGATAAGTGGAGTCGATAAGAGGAGTCGATAAGAGGAGTCGATAAGAGGAGTCGATAAGAGGAGTCGATTAGATAAGAGGAGTCCATAAGAGGAGTCGATAAGTGGAGTCGATAAGAGGAGTCGATAAGAGGAGTCGATAAGAGGAGTCCATAAGAGGAGTCCATAAGAGGAGTCCATAAGAGGAGTCGATAAGAGGAGTCGATAAGATAATAGGAGTCGATAAGAGGAGTCGATAAGATAAGAGGAGTCGATAAGAGGAGTCCATAAGAGGAGTCCATAAGAGGAGTCGATAAGATAAGAGGAGTCGATAAGTGGAGTCGATAAGATAAGAGGAGTCGATAAGATAAGAGGAGTCGATAAGATAAGAGGAGTCGATAAGTGGAGTCCATAAGAGGAGTCCATATGAGGAGTCCATAAGAGGAGTCGATGAGAGGAGTCGATAAGAGGAGTCGATAAGAGGAGTCGATGAGAGGAGTCCATAAGAGGAGTCCATAAGAGGAGTCCATAAGAGGAGTCCATAAGAGGAGTCGATGAGAGGAGTCGATAAGAGGAGTCCATAAGAGGAGTCCATAAGAGGAGTCGATAAGAGGAGTCCATAAGAGGAGTCCATAAGAGGAGTCCATAAGAGGAGTCCATAAGAGGAGTCGATGAGAGGAGTCGATAAGAGGAGTCCATAAGAGGAGTCCATAAGAGGAGTCCATAAGAGGAGTCGATAAGAGGAGTCCATAAGAGGAGTCGATAAGAGGAGTCCATAAGAGGAGTCCATAAGAGGAGTCCATAAGAGGAGTCGATGAGAGGAGTCGATAAGAGGAGTCCATAAGAGGAGTCCATAAGAGGAGTCGATGAGAGGAGTCGATAAGAGGAGTCGATGAGAGGAGTCCATAAGAGGAGTCGATAAGAGGAGTCGATAAGAGGAGTCGATAAGAGGAGTCGATAAGAGGAGTCGATAAGAGGAGTCGATAAGAGGAGTCGATAAGAGGAGTCCATAAGAGGAGTCCATAAGAGGAGTCCATAAGAGGAGTCTTAGATTTTATAACAAATATCCGATTCCTGACCTCAAGTTTTTGATTCCAGAATTAAAAGTTGTAATAGAATGAAAAGATTATATTATATCAGGCACCCTTTTTGCACTCTGATTTTGTCCTTTTTTGCTCATCTTTCCCTTCTGATTTCGCCCCTCTCCCCGCAGGGAAAGCTGGGCGTTCCCGGTTTGCCAGGTTACCCGGGGCGGCAGGGCCTGAAGGTGAGCAGAGCAGAGCAGAGGCAGAGGTCAGCTGTGTGTGTGTGAGAGTAACCGCTGGTGTTGTGCTGCTCTCTCCTCAGGGTGCGGACGGGTTTCCTGGCGCTGTCGGCGTCCCGGGAGAGAAGGGAAAGAAGGTCACTGACAACATCACTATCTTAAAAACACCTCATAAAACACTTAAGTGTGTAAATGTGCGCTGATGTGAGTGTACTGTGTTTCTCAGGGTCCACCGGGTCCTGCAGGGGCCGCGGGTCAGAGGGGGCCCAATGTGAGTGTCTCCGGCCACACTGAACATCATCACCATCCAGCCTGAGCCACAACCAATGTGTGTATGTGTGTGTGTGTGTGTGTTATCAGGGTGCTCGAGGAGGGAGGGGTGCAAGAGGACCCACTGGGAAATCAGGAGACAAGGTCAGAGGTCATATCAGATCTATAATACAACATAATAATGAGCTGAAGCCAAACACTTGTCTGTGTTACCGTCATCACTGTGATTATGAGTCTATTCTGATGCACTGTTGATATTATTGTGTTGAAATGACTGTAAAGGGATGAACATCTCTGTTCTAGGGGTCTTCGGGACACGACGGCCCCCCAGGGCCCTCAGGAGAGAGAGTAAGATAGCGTCACACACATGTTCAAATGTCCAAACTGGACTGAAACCTGGAAATTAATTTACTAAAATTAATCAAATGCAAGTAATTGAGTGTCATTGATCATGTGACTTGATTAATGTATGTGCTCGAATACTGCAGGGACCACAAGGGCCTAATGGCCGTGTAGGTGAGATGGGCCCCAAAGGACCCAACGTGAGTGACCCTCCTCTTCACCTCATATGATGATACGACACGTACAGTATTCTCAACATGTGCTGTTTGCAGGGGCCTGGTGGGAAGGACGGGCTGCCGGGTCATCCAGGCCAGCGGGGGGAGCCGGTGAGTCCTCAGGCTTGTGGAACTACAGAGGTCATGGGCTGAATCCGAAATCGCCCCCTTTACCCTCAGACAGGGCGTTATCTGAGGGGACGGGCATTTGTAGTGGTGTCCGAAACCATAGTGGACTTTATCGAGTGCACTCATTCTATCCCACAATGCACCGCAATAATGAGTGCACAACCGATGCACGCTTAACGGCTGAACGAATTCAATCGCTCTATTTCATTCACTCCTTCAAGTGAACAGTATTAGTGGACTGACGTAGGGAATAGTGAATGAGGGTTTAGGGGGCGATTTGGGATTCAGCCATGATGTATTTGTAGGCCAGCCCATATTGGTCCCTTCAGACTAAAATCCCAGTGGGATTTTTTATTTCCATTCTTACTCGTTTTCTACATCATGAAAATCTTTACAAATGAAGACTGTGGTTTTGTTCCATTGAACCAGTCAAACTATAATCTTTAATTTAGTTTGATCAAATATTAAATGTATCAGCAATATACTCACACGTTGATGAAAACGTACATTCAAATTATTACAAATATGTGGCCTTTATTTGCTTCTGTTTGCTGTTTTGATTTGGGTTGGGAATTTAGCATTTACATTTAAGCGATTCCGATTCTTACTGATTCCTAGTTTCGATTCCAATATGGTAAAAAAAAAAGTATTTCTTATGTCTTTTTGCAAACCATCCTGTTGCAGCTGAATACCACGCTACACAAGGATCCGCAGCCTAAAGAACAACTAACTAATAAACTAGACTAACTAATATAAATTTCAAACATTTTTTTAAAGACGACAGTCAGTAACACAATAAGAACAACAAGCAAATTAGCACAAATAAATACAACTGAAGAAGTGTAAATCAAATGTAAAATAACACTGCATGGTTTTCGTTTTATAAATAAAATATAGATGAATCCTTGTTAAAGCTACTGGAGTTATTCAGTCAAGAGCAGTGAGTTCTTGTGTTCTCTGATTAACAGTAATAACACTGACGGGACCAGGTTTATTAGGCTACTGTCACTTTAAGACCGAATGCAGGATCTGATATACTCTTACACATGCGTTTATGATCACTTAAGACATAACCTACTGTGTATTCGTCCGCAAGAAGACACAAAAGAGTTCTCTCGCATCTTCTTGAGCTTAAACAGTTTAAAACCACATTAAAATGCACACACAGGAATCAAAAATGTGTATTTAATAACAAGTATCCGATTCCTAACCGTAGTTTTGATGGTGTGTTGTTCATCCGGCAGGGTTTCCAAGGAAAGACGGGTCCTCCGGGACCATCCGGTGTCGTTGGGCCGCAGGTGAGTGCATCGCTCAGGGATCTTTTAAGAAGTCTTCCTAACTGGGTGGATTCTTGGTTTTTGTTTTTTTGTTTAAACTAATGACCACAGCTGTCGTTCCCTCTGGCTGTGACTTTGTGTCCAGGGTAATACAGGAGAAACCGGACCGATGGGAGAGAGAGGACACCCGGGCTCCGCGGGACCAGCCGGAGAGCAAGGTTTACCTGGAGCCGCTGGGAAAGAGGGAGCAAAGGTGCGACAATCATCCTCATCAACGATGACACTTCCTTCTGTCTGCGCCTCCCTTTCATTTCTGTCATCATCTCTTCATATCATGCATGTGTTCGGTCCTCAGGGCGACCCTGGAGGCTCGGGTACTTCAGGAAAGAGCGGTCCAGCGGGTCTGAAGGGTTTCCGCGGTAGTCGTGGAGCACCGGGTGCCATGGTAACAATACTGTATCCGCCTGTTTTACGATTGTTGCCAGTGATTCTTTATGTTGCTATATGACCTCAATTGACCTATCGGTAAGCCCCTCCCCTCGAACGCAGATCAGCCAATGGCAGTTGAGTATCAGTTGCATAGGGAACTCGGACATCTTTAGGTTTCAGTGCCATAGAGAAACATTGGAAGATCCGAAGCCCTCGTCAGTTTATGGTGTTTATGCTACAGAAATGGTAAAGCGATGTGCGTTGGGTGATGTGGGCGCAGTAACCTGGTTCCCTGAGGATCCAACCCCAATCCCAGTGAAGGTTGTCATTGTCAAGACTGTAAACAGTAACTTAGGGGTGCGGGGCTTACCGATAGGTCAGTTGGACTGCTGCTGATTGGCCAGTGTTGTCATGTGACCTGTGCTCTCTTGTTTAGGGGCCGGTTGGATTAAAGGGCGGGGCGGGGCCGATCGGGCCCCCTGGACCTTCTGTATGTGACCTCATTCTGCAATCTCACAAAAACACATAGAGGGCTTATGACCTGGAGATGTTCTAGACTGATTTTCACACTCTGTTATATATACCGTCAAACCAAAACTTATTCAGACTCCTTCAACCAAGCAATGCTTCATGTTGTTCAGTCTGTGTGTAAAAAGAGCATTAGCAATTACGGAAAACACACTTCAGCAAAACATCATCAGCTCAAAGTGGAGGAATTATTTCTGGGCCCACATTGTTATAAATGTTACTGGTAGTCACTGTATGAAGAGTTTTTGGGTATAATGTCACAGTTTACTTTATTTTGCTCTCCTCACTTACATAAATGAACTATAGTGTCCTGCACACACTAGTGAAACAAATATCAAAAATTATATCTGGTGTCTGAATAATTTTTTGGTTTGACTGTATGTATGTAGATAGTAAGTATATTAACTTATTAATTCACAAATATGTGTGTCTCTTCCCAGGGGCCCACAGGGGAAAGGGGCCCCTCTGGATTGGCTGGTGCCATTGGTCAGCCTGGTCGACCTGGAACCGTCGGTGGGCCTGGACCAATGGGAGAGAAGGGAGAGCCAGTAAGACACGCCCCTACGCACATGCGGTGATAAATCTCCGCCAGTGATATGTGTGTGTGTGTAACGGTGTGTTTGTGTACAGGGAGAGAAGGGTCTGATTGGACCCGCGGGACAGGATGGTGAGCAGGGGCCGGTGGGATTGCCAGGAGCCGGTGGCCCTCCAGGACCCCCCGGAGAGGATGGAGATAAGGTGATGTTCATGTGTGCTTAGTAGAGATGATGTTTGTAATCTAGTTGTAAAAATGACAAAGTTCCAGTGGGTCCAAACCTCCAGGGCCTTCAAGGCAGTAACCCAAGCTGAAGAGGGTGCACTCTGGCTGGGGAGAGATTTCAATCTCCACCCTGGTGTGAAACCTCCAGAAAAAGAGGCTGATTTTCTGAAAGTGCTTTTCAGGCAGCGTGCACCTCTCCTGGGGATGAATAAAGCCCAAAGCCCATGGAGGAATTGACTCTGGGCATGACTCTGAAGCCACGCTCTAAAAATGGGTTAGGTTTATAGGAATAAATACAAAGATTGCAAAAAACAACGTATAATATTCGGCAGGCAATTTTTAGTCAATTTTACAAATTAGCTTCCACAAATTCAGTGGTTCAAAATATACAGAAAATTCATCTTTTCAAATCCGGAGACTGCAGGAATAGATTACGATTAATACTCTCCATCTGCTGTAAGTGGACCTCACCAGCAGGGGGTGCAAGCGGCTGTTGACGAACACAAGAGCAACGGATCAGAGAGTCATTCATTCATAAAAACTGATTTACAGAAATGAAGCAAGCGGTAAAACCATTTGGCATTAAATTACTTCCATACACACCAGACAGGAAGAAAGCACCAGAACACCCTAACATAGTGCCATTGTGTTATACAGGCAAACACCGCTCTTGTTTTCCAAATCTATATTTATTCATTGCTTGATGGTTTAACTTTGGTGTGTTTGTGTGTGTTTGTATGTTTGTGTGTGTTTGTGTGTGTTTGTGTGTTTGTCAGGGGGAAACAGGAGCTCCAGGACAGAAAGGCAGTAAAGGAGACAAAGGAGAATCAGTGAGTGGCTGAAATACTGAAACACACACACACACACACACTGCTACTAATGACCAGCTTGTTCTGCTCTCAGGGGCCCGCAGGTCCAGCCGGCACTCAGGGGCCCGAGGGCCAGCCGGGAGCACCGGTGAGTGTGTTTGAGGAGGAACTCCATCGCTGTGTTCAGAGAGTGTGTGTGTGATCGAGTGTGTGTGTGTGTGTCAGGGTGTGGATGGCGAGACTGGTCCTCCAGGACAGCAGGGCATGTACGGAGAGAAGGGAGACGAGGGCTTGAGAGGATTCAAGGGCTCCAGGGGCCCCGGGGGACTACAGGTACATGATCATTCACTGTCCCTCCTCCAGTACGGATTATTATATAATCATATAATACAGGTGTGTGTGTGTGTGTGTGTGTGTGTGTAGGGAATGCCCGGTCCTCCCGGAGAGAAAGGAGAGAGCGGGAATGCTGGTCTGATGGTGAGCTCATCGATATATCTGTCAGTTATGATCATGTTTATTAATCTCTATGTACTGTGACTCAGAGTGTGTGTGTTTGTGTGTTTCCAGGGTCCTCCTGGTCAGTTCGGGCCCAGAGGAGCTCAAGGGCCCTCTGGTGGACAGGTACACACACACACACCTTCACTTTCTAAACTCAGGATTTTATCAAAAGCTAATAATTAATCAAAACAATACAAAAGTACAATTAAAATAAGTTAATATTTTTTAAATAAAAAAAATCAAAATAAAACCCTTACTAAAAAAGATGAAATATTTTACTTGTCTACCTGCATGTCATGTGACCATTATCTGACATCAGAGAATCGTGAGCATGTGAATGTGCTGTTCAATTATTGAAATATTAACTTACAATCTCAGGGGGACTTCAAGTCAATATTTTAGCTCAAAAAGGCTTCAGCTGAAAAACGTTTGGTAACCACTGATCTACAGCACACACACACACACACACACACACACACAGACTCACACACTTGTGTGTTTCAGGGTCCTCCTGGTCGTCCTGGTGTTCGTGGTCAGCCTGGTGGAGTGGGTGAGAAGGTTCGTTACAGTTAAACATGAGTTGATGGTGATGATGATGATGATGATGGTGATGATGATGATGATGATGATGATGATGATGATGATGATGATGATGATGATGATGATGATTGACAGGGTGAAGATGGCGAGTCAGGTGATCCTGGAGCTGTTGGTGTTTCTGGCAGCGCAGTGAGTCCTTCTCTCCTCTGAACATCCTGTGTGACGCGCATCACTTCCTTCATCTCTGCAGCAACACGTGTGTGTGTGTGTGTGTGTTGTCAGGGGGAGAAGGGCGAGCAGGGAGAGAAAGGGGACACGGGGCCCCCAGGAGCGGCAGGTTCTCCAGGAGCCAGAGGAGCATCTGGAGAAGACGGAGCGAAAGGCAATGCGGTCAGTGTGTGTGTGTGTGTGTGTGTGTGAGTGTGTGTGTGTGTGTGAGTGTGTGAGTGTGTTTCACACTGTAAAAAATTATGTTCTTCCTCAGTATTTCTATCTTGTTTTCCATTACACAAATATCTAACCATATACAAGTCCCCTGTAGTCAATCATTTTATCCCTTAAAACTCATCTTTAATCACCAAAATTACATATTTAAATGTTTTATTTCTTGAAAATAATTTCTTCATGCCTTACAATATCTTGAATGCAACTCGACACCCTTGCCTCATTTAGTATACGCGGTTCAATGAATATGCAAATTAGCCCCGGCTCCACTCACTCACACCAGCTCAACAATTGTTCAGAAAAATATCTAGTCGTTTTCACAAATGTATCTTGATTTAAACTCATCATGAAAGGGAAGTAGCGCTGGTGTTTTCTCCTCTATTGTGTCGTATATCGAGTGAACCGCTTCTGTACAAAAACACATGTGGGCGGGGCTTGATTGTGTCTGTGAGGAATTGATTGGATGGTTGTGGTTTGCTATTGGCTGATCTCATGTGAGTGACAGGTTATAGCCCCGCCCACATCATCAGAGAAGAGGAGAGATGCTGCAAGAGGAACTGATTCTGATTCAACAATATTAACACAATAATGATGTGCACTGATAAATCATTTAGAATAAACACGGTGATATTCCATAAAAATGGTCAATTTCAATTTCCTGGTGACTTTAAGAATATTTCTACTGGAGAACACGGATTTAGAAACTCTATTTCGCAGTGTATCGTCTGCTGACGAACCCTCTCTCTGATTCCCTCCAGGGTCCGATCGGGTTCCCTGGAGATTTGGGCGCTCCTGGAGAGGCGGGGGTTAACGTGAGTATCTCCAGTGACGTCAGGCAAGCACACTGTGATCAGCCATGATGAAACATCTCGTCTGTCCTCACAGGGGATCGACGGCAGTGCGGGATCGAAAGGAGATCACGGGGATCCTGGGAAATCTGTGAGTCTCTTCTATAATCATGTCAAATAAGTTTCAGATAGTTTGAGTTAATGATAATAACTCTGGTTTCACGCATTGCTCTGGGGATTAGGGCCCGCCAGGAGCCTCCGGAGAACCGGGACCTCCGGGAAGACCGGGACGCAGGGTGAGTGTTTGTTTGTGATCGATCAGCTGTGTGTTTGTGTACTTGTGGAGCTTTGCGTGTTTATATGTGTGTGTATCCTCGTTTAGGGTCACTTGGGTCCTGCTGGGAAAGAGGGGCGGCCGGGCCTGAAAGGAGACAAGGTGAGAAAGTCAGTTCGAAACTCAGACACACTGCATCTGAACTAGAGGATAAATCACTGAGGCTTCCTTCACAGCTTCTGTCACACTGGGTAAGCTCCGCCCACACTGAGATCTCATTGGTCCAGTGGTGTAAAGCAGTGACACACTAAACCAGCAGTCGGCTGTCGGCCAGGGCCATTGGTTTTGTGGTGTGTTCTGCACTGTCGGCCCCCGTCTGATGATTTCCCCAGTTGAGCATGTTGGACGGCGCCGATAGCCTCGTGGGCAGCACCGGCATATAGCGCTGTTGTGCTTAGGGCCCGAATCCTGGCTTGTGGACCTTTCCTGATCCCGTCCTCTCTCTCTCTTTCTCCCACCTCTATACTATCCTATCACAATTAAAAATATATATTTAAAAAAAAGTCAGAATTCATGTTGAATCAGCAGGGAATCCCTGAGTACGAAACTTAAGTCAAGTCAAGTCACCTTCATTTATACAGCGCTTTTAACAATATGGATCGTTTCAAAGCAGCTTTACAGTGATAATAGGAAATTAATAGAATATATATATTGTTTTGGATTTACTTACACAACACTGTTTAACTGAAAACAGAAGCAAACGCTCAGTTGTAGTACACTCTTGACTGAGGTCTGAGAGGATGCTCTAGGGAACTAATGGTCCTCCTGTTGTCCTTCACGTTCACTTGAATTGTTGACACTGGATCTGTGTCCGTGTTCAGGGAGCTCCGGGGTACGAGGGCCTCATGGGAAAGCCGGGGCCGGTGGGCGGTCAGGGGAACTCTGGGAAGGCCGGACCTCAGGGGCTTCCGGGAATCCCTGGACCAGCGGTGAGCTGCTTTCCTACATTTGTTAATGGTTTTCTACAGACTCATATTAAACTTTCTCTACTCAAACCCACGTAATATCAAGTAATATCATCCAGTAATATCTATTATCTAAATGCATGTTCACATTCTCTCTCTCTGCTGTAGGGAGAACAAGGGCTGAACGGACCCCCAGGTCAATCGGGACCCCCGGGGCCGATGGTAAGGCGTCATTAATCACTCCTCATGCGCTGATCTTTAATATGATGTCAGACTGATGATGTCATTGCACGTGTACAGGGCCCCACTGGACTGGCTGGACTGAAGGGAGACCCGGGCAGGAAAGGAGAGAAGGTACGTCATCTCATATACACACAGACACACACACACTGGAAATACACGTGAGTATATCTGTGTGTGTGTGTGTGCTTCAGGGTCATGGCGGTCTGATTGGTTTGATTGGGCCGCCGGGTGAGTTCGGAGAGAAAGGTGATCGAGGACTGCCGGGAAACCAGGGGCCGCAGGGAGCCAAAGGAGAAGAGGTGAACACACACACTAATAGACACACATTCACAAGCGCATACAAGAAGATGATTTCACTGTGTCTCTGCTGACAGGGTCCAGTTGGACCTCCAGGACTCAATGGACCACCAGGACCACCGGGACTGTCTGTAAGTCTAATCTTCAGACCCATCAGGGTGTTGTGTATGCGTTCGGGTTTGTTCTTGTGTCACAGCTTCTGTCTGTATCACTGTGTTTCAGGGATCCATGGGACAGAAGGGATCTAAAGGAAGCCAGGTGACACACACCGAATTTCATCTCATTTGTGGGATTTCGCTCTGATCATGTTTTGACATCTATTTGCATAAGAGTGTTAGCATGCGACTGAGTTCTCCACCATTTATAGGTATGAATTTAACAGATGCCTTTATTAGCCGCGTTTCCACTGTCGGGCCAAAAGCGGGCGGCTAGTGCGTGCCAGGGCCAGTCGCGTTTCCACTGTCACTTCCGGGGCTCGAACGGCCCAACGGCCAGGTTTTCTGGCCCACCGAATAGCTTGGTCCAAAGCGCGCCAGCTCGGGCTTGAGGAGTGGTTATGAACAGAGTCAGAGTTTCCCTGAGTCTGGAGACGCCAGCGCTGGATGATTCTATACCAGCTAACATCAGCTTTAAAGACGTTTAACCTCATTTTAGCTCAAAACTCACTTTCATGTTTGAATAACTTCTGTTTGTGATCTGATGTGGATTCTGATCACTGTACTGTATTTATATGCGATGCAAAAGACTATGTGCACTAACCATTACAACAGTAAACATGGTAAACACGACCGCTTGAAGAAATCAGATAAATCATATAGGCTTTCACAATCAAGTTTTTATTTGACCTGTCAGTACGTCTCGTCTCTTTATACCGGACTGTCTGATATATACTATCTGCTCCTTAGGTCGTAGTTTTGGTGGCATCTTTGTAGAAATGATCCTTCTTTCTAAATGTGATGTAAACACAAGCTATGTAACTAAACTGAAACAGACGCGGCTGAGTACTTAATTCTGAGGACTTAAGTGTCTCCTCTTTCTTTTGTGATTTATTGGTAAATACCACTTTATCTCTGTGTGACTAATGTGCAATCTTGACAAATTAATTCATTATGATCAATGTGTCACTTTTATTGTAAACCTGTGGTAAAACATCGATGCTTGAGTTTTAAATCTTTAAGTAAGCAACAAAAATACCAAAGGAACAAAAATACCAAACAAAAATACCAAATAGAAGTTTTATCAGAAAACTAATCAGAAAGAAATCAATGGAAACATGGAGATCGCAAAACGAACATGATAAATGTGGTCCATTTATCATGTTCGTTTTGCGATCCCCAAGTTTCCATTGATTTCTTTCTGATTAGTTTTCTGATAAAACTTCTATTTGTTGGTGAAGTGATGCTGTTCCAGACAGGCGTGTTACGGGTGTGTTTTAGTGAAGCGCTGCAGAGCTTCTGGCCCGACAGAGGAAACACAGCAGGTTTTGGGCTCGGTGCTCCAGACCCGAGGCTATTAGCCCCGCCTGCCCGCTTAAAGCCCTCCTCACACTGGCCTGACAGAGGAAACACAGCAGGTTTTGGGCTCGGTGCTCCAGACCCGAGGCTATTAGCCCCGCCTGCCCGCTTAAAGCCCTCCTCACACTGGCCTGACAGAGGAAACACAGCAGGTTTTGGGCTCGGTGCTCCAGACCCGAGGCTATTAGCCCCGCCTGCCCGCTTAAAGCCCTGCTCACACTGGCCCGACAGTGGAAACACAGCAGGTTTTGGGCCCGGTGCTCCAGACCCGAGGCTATTAGCCCCGCCTGCCCGCTTAAAGCCCTCCTCACACTGGCCCGACAGTGGAAACACAGCAGGTTTTGGGCCCGGTGCTCCAGACCCGAGGCTATTAGCCCCGCCTGCCCGCTTAAAGCCCTCCTCACACTGGCCCGACAGTGGAAACACAGCAGGTTTTAGGCCCGGTGCTCCAGACCCGAGGCTATTAGCCCCGCCTGCCCGCTTAAAGCCCTCCTCACACTGGCCCGACAGTGGAAACACAGCAGGTTTTGGGCCCGGTGCTCCAGACCCGAGGCTATTAGCCCCGCCTGCCCGCTTAAAGCCCTCCTCACACTGGCCCGACAGTGGAAACACAGCAGGTTTTGGGCTCGGTGTTCCAGACCCGAGGCTATTAGCCCCGCCTGCCCGCTTAAAGCCCTCCTCACACTGGCCCGACAGTGGAAACACAGCAGGTTTTGGGCCCGGTGCTCCAGACCCGAGGCTATTAGCCCCGCCTGCCCGCTTAAAGCCCTCCTCACACTGGCCTGACAGAGGAAACACAGCAGGTTTTAGGCCCGGTGCTCCAGACCCGAGGCTATTAGCCCCGCCTGCCCGCTTAAAGCCCTCCTCACACTGGCCCGACAGTGGAAACACAGCAGGTTTTGGGCTCGGTGTTCCAGACCCGAGGCTATTAGCCCCGCCTGCCCGCTTAAAGCCCTCCTCACACTGGCCCGACAGTGGAAACACAGCAGGTTTTGGGCCCGGTGCTCCAGACCCGAGGCTATTAGCCCCGCCTGCCCGCTTAAAGCCCTCCTCACACTGGCCCGACAGTGGAAACACAGCAGGTTTTAGGCCCGGTGCTCCAGGTCCGAGGCTATTAGCCCCGCCTGCCCGCTTAAAGCCCTCCTCACACTGGCCCGACAGTGGAAACACAGCAGGTTTTGGGCCCGGTGCTCCAGGTCCGAGGCTATTAGCCTCGCCCGCCCGCTTAAAGCCCTGCTTACACTGGCCCGACAGTGGAAACACAGCAGGTTTTGGGCCCGGTGCTCCAGGTCCGAGGCTATTAGCCCCGCCCGCCCACTTAAAGCCCTGCTTACACTGGCCCGACAGTGGAAACACAGCAGGTTTTGGGCCCGGTGCTCCAGGTCCGAGGCTATTAGCCCCGCCCGCCCACTTAAAGCCCTGCTCACACTGGCCCGACAGTGGAAACACAGCAGGTTTTGGGCCCGGTGCTCCAGGTCCGAGGCTATTAGCCCCGCCCGCCCACTTAAAGCCCTGCTCACACTGGCCTGACAGTGGAAACACAGCAGGTTTTGGGCCCGGTGCTCCAGGTCCGAGGCTATTAGCCCCGCCCGCCCACTTAAAGCCCTGCTCACACTGGCCCGACAGTGGAAACACAGCAGGTTTTGGGCCCGGTGCTCCAGGTCCGAGGCTATTAGCCCCGCCTGCCCGCTTAAAGCCCTGCTCACACTGGCCTGACAGTGGAAACGCGGCTATTCAAAGCAACTTAAAATAAAGGAACAAAAGCAATTCGTCACAGAGCTCATTCCACCACACTGGAACAGAGAGGGTGAAGGGTCTGGAAAGCGAGAGTTAGCGTGTTCTTATCAGTCTGTGAGCTCATGAACACCAGTGGATACTGAATAATGTGAATGATGTGGTTTATTTAAGGGCCCTATTGGACCCAGAGGAGATACCGGTCCTGCTGGACCCCCAGGACCCCCGGTGAGTCTCCAGTCCTCATGTTTTTAGGATGAATAAATGCCAGAAGGAGAATTAACAGAACAAGCGTCTCTGTCCAGGGTTCTCCTGCGGTGGGAATGGTGGCTCCTCCGGGACTGGACGGCCGAGGGAAGAGGAGGAGACATTCGGAAGTGGACGGAGCCGCTGTGGAGGACGGAGAGATGCAGGGCGAGGAGGCTCAGGGGGAGGAGAAGGACATGGAGGAGGTGTTCGCGTCTCTGTCGTCCATGAAGACTGATGTGGAGGGACTCAGAACTCCCCTGGGAACCTTCCACAGTCCCGCCCGCACCTGCAAAGAGCTGTGGATGTGCCACCCCGAGTATCCCGACGGTACGGGGATCCAGTCTGCACTTGATCCAGTGCTGGAGAATGTTTTTCACATTCTAGTGTTGCGTTCTCAGTCCGATCCTGATTTCTCTATATGACTTCTGACCTCAGGTGTTTACTGGATTGACCCCAACCAGGGTTGCCATAGAGACGCGTTTAAGGTGTTCTGCAACTTCACAGCAGAAGGTGAAACGTGTCTCCAGCCACACAGCAGCATTCAGTCGGTGAGATCTTTAATCACACTACACCTGGAAAATAATAGAGTTGGGATGAAGTCATGATGTAAACCTGTCCTTCTACAGCAGAAGCATTGGTTTAACTTTAGATGAATACCTTAAGCTTTTATACCTGCCAAGTGTCATCAGAAATAAAGTGACGTGTGAATGATGTTTATTGTGCACAGGTCAAAATGGCTTCATGGAGCAAAGAGAAACCAGGAACCTGGTTCAGCCAGTTCAAGAAGGGCTCACAGGTCGTCCATTATTGTGTTGTTGTGTTATCTTTAGCCTCTGTCCCTGCATTCACACTCTGTCTGTCTGCCTCGTGTAGTTTTCGTATGTGGATGTGGACGGAAACCCCGTTCATGTGGTTCAGCTGGGTTTCCTGAAGCTCCTGAGTGCCACGGCCCACCAGAGCTTCACATACGTGTGCCAGAACTCGGCCGGCTGGCTCGACAGCGCCTCCCTCAGCTACACACACGCACTGCGCTTCAGAGGCGGACACGGGGAGGAGCTGACGCGGCAGAACACACACTACATCCAGCCCACGCACGACGGCTGTCAGGTACACACTCGCCCCGTCTCACTGTGAACGACTCAGAATCAATCCATATGAACAACTCAATGAATCTTGAATCAATCCATAGGCTGAATCAAAACTTAGGCTGAATCTGAAATCACCCCCTAAACCCTCATTCACTATTCCCTACGTTAGTCCACTAATACTGTTCACTTGAAGGAGTAAATGAAAAGGAGTGAGCGAATTCGGACAGCCGTTGAGCATACATCGGCTGTACACTCATTACTGGGGTGCATTGTGGGATAGAATGAGTGTACTCGATAATGTCCACTATGGTTTCGGACACCACTACAAATGGCTGTCCCTTCAAATAATAACGCCCTATTTGAGGGTATAGGGAGCGATTTCGGATTCAGCCTTAGTGACTCCTGAATCAATCCATATAAGCGACTCAGTGAATCCTGAATCAATCCATATAAGCGACTCAGTGAATCCTGAATCAATCCATATAAGCGACTCAGTGAATCCTGAATCAATCCATATAAGCGACTCAGTGAATCCTGAATCAATCCATATGAACAAGTCAGTGAATCCTGAATCAGTTCACATAAATTACTCAGTGAATCCTGAATCAGTTCACATAACTCATTGAACACAGTTGCCTCTGTCATGTGACGTTCCCCGTGTGGTGTGTTGTGTTGTTTCTCATGTGACGTTCCCCGTGTGGTGTGTTGTGTTGTCTCTCATGTGACGTTCCCCGTGTGGTGTTGTTCTGCCTGTAGTGGCGTTCGGGGCAGGACCGGACCGTTCTGGAGGTGGACTCTCCTCACTCGGACGCTCTGCCGCTCATGGACGTGGCCGTCACAGACTTCGGGAACGCCAGGCAGAAGTTCGGCTTCAGCGTGGGGAAGGTCTGCTTCAACGGCTAGTCCAGAAAAGACTTACATATTTATACATCAGTCCTTCAGGTGCTCGCGTTTGTCTGATTCTCTGAGAACAGGAAGTTGTGCTTGAAGGGAGATCATGTGACATGATTACACACATCCAGACCTCACAGAGATTCACATTTATTTTGTACTGTTTGTTTGAGAGATGTTGATGTATTTTTGTATTTGTTTGTTTGAATGTTTCGTAATCTCGGTGCTACATCAGGCCTTTTTTAACTTGTTTATATGATGTAATGATTTTAGTGTTTATTATGGATGGAGATTCTCTGACTGTCTGTTTGATAAATACTGTTTGAGAGGAGAGATTTTTAAATAAAACTATTACTTAATAAAATCACTGGTTTAGGACACGTGATTTACATACACAAATCAGCTTTTATTTCATTTCGACATTTCACTGAATAAATGTGTGATTCATCTGATCGCAACAGAATAAATATGTTTAGTTTAAAGTGTAAATATAAACACTGTTTATTCTCTGCAAAACTGACAGCTTTAATACATACTAAAATTAATAAATAATTAAACCTTGTAAACATGATTTAAAATACCTCCTCTGTGACAGATACAATCTTTCTCATGAATATGCTTGTTTGTTCACATATAGTTCACTGTTTGAACATGTTTCCTTTAAGTGAAGATCTGAGGTTAATTATATATGATATTCAAACTGAAACTTAAACACTATCAGTACCTGAGCTGCAGAAATAAAACATTCCTAACAAATCATAATTACAAGAGGATTTACTACAAGATTAACTCAGAATTCTGACATAAAAAGTCAAAATCAACTTCAAAACGGTCATAATGTCAACTTTTTATATCATAATTATGACTAAAAATGTTGAAATTGGCATCCAAAGTAAAATTTTTTTTATTGAAATACTGACACTGACAATTAAAAATTCATAATTATGAGATTAAGTCGAAATTCTGACTTAAAAAGTAAAAAATTATGACATA